ACTACTACTACTACTACTACTACTACTACTACTACTACTACTACTACTACTACTACTGCTACTACTACTACTACCACTACTTCTACTACCACTACTTCTACTACTACTACTACTTGTAAAAACTCATTTGTTATTTAATGTTAGGTTTTGTTGTTATATTATATTATGCGTCATCCATTCGTTTATATTCTGATGGAGTACAAACTCATTACCATAGTCGTCGTCATCGTCACCATCACGCACTTCGTCATCATCACCGTCATCATCACTATCATTATTATCATCATCTTCATCATCATCATCACTATCGTCATCATCATCATCATCATTTTACAGGAAGACTAGCTGGGAACGACAAATCACAAGAAGATTTTATCCTACCTGTTCCGATCATGCCCATGATAGGTTTGTTGGCGGTCGTTATCATATCATTATCTTGTCCATTCTTTACTTATATATTAAATAATTTTAATATTAAATCATTAAATCATTTATAAAATGATAATTTTCAATATTAAATAATTCAAATATAATATATATATATATATATATATATATATATTAAAATATTTATTTCAAATTTATATGATATTAACAATCCCAGTTTTTTGCAAATCATACTCGTCCGCATCATTTACACAGACATTCAAACACTCACATACATACATACACATCCGCACACACATATACACATCCACACATACAAACACATACACGAACAGGCGGGGGCTTAAATTTCAACACCAGGTTATTCCTCGACGAAATAGCGATCCTACCGGTAGGGGTAAAGTCTTTCGAAGATGCCATGAGGGCCGGCAGCGAGATCTACTTCACCCTCAAACAACTTCTCGCCAAAACGTACGGACTATCGGCCACCAATATCGGTCCTTTGGGCCAGTTCGGCCCTTTCATTCAGAACGAAATTGACGCCCTGGAGTTAGTGAAAAAGTCAATCGAAGCAGCCGGCTATACTGGTTACGTGAAGATGGGAATAAATTGTGCGGCGCATACATTTTTTAAAAATGGAACTTATGACGTGAATTTCAAGCAAATATACGGCGGTCAGTTGGATTGTATTTATACCAATTTTTCAAATATTCAATTCTCTCTTGTAGCATTCAGTATTACCTGGATTAACTTATACTTAAAAATAGTATTCGTTCCAATGAGATCATCATTAAATGAAAAAAATAAATTAAATGGTTATTTTTTGGCAAATATATGTAAGATACCTCAGAAAATATAATTAACCAAAAACTAAAAAAAAATTGAAATGAAACTCACCTTCGGCAATAATTCATCTTTTTTTAAAATTGATCTTTAACCTTTTGAACGATCTGGACAGGTCGGAAAGGAATGTTGAGCAGCGAGCGAATGACCGAACTCTACAGAAGTTTCATCATCGACTACTCGGCAATCAGCCTGGAAGATCCTTTCCACTTTGAGGATTGGGACCCCTGGCGGAATATGACGGAAAAGATGTCAGTACAGATAGTTGGGAGCAAATTGCTGGCCACCAATCTGACGCTTATCAAACAAGCCATCGAGAAAATGGCCTGCAACTGCCTGATGATAAAAATCAACCAGATTGGGACTGTCAGTGAAGCTATCGAATGTTTTAAACTGTCGAAAGACGCAGGTCTGTTGTGGTCTGTTGTGGTGTGGTGCAGTGTGGCGTGGTGTGGTATGGTGTCGTCTAGTGGGTGGTGTGCTATGGTTTGATTTTTTTACGGTTGGATTCATTTGCGAAAATTTTGTGCAAGTGGCAAGGGTGATTTTTAAGTGTTTTAAGAGAGAAAAAAATCTGACAGGCTGGTCTTGCATCGTTGGTGACAGACTCGGCGAAACAGAGGACGCTTTCATGGCTGACTTTGCCGTTGGCATTTCAGCCGGTCAAATAAAAGCCGGTGCTCCGTGCAGGTTTTTCAATATTTATTTTCCTATTTATGAAAGATTATGAATCGTTGATGTATGATTTTTCGTAGGTGATCGATTGTCTCATGCGTTCATTCATTCATCTGTCATTCATTCATTCATCTATCATTCATTCATTCATTCGTTCGTTCGTTCGTTAGTTAGTTTTTCTACCGTTACATCCGTCCGTCAGACCTATCAGTTCATTAATTCTTTCTTTACCCTACCGACTGTCTATAATTCATTCATTCATTCGTTCGTTCATTCATTCATTCATTCATTCATTCATTCATTCGTCCATCCATAACATGTTTTCATATTTTATTGTTATTTTTATTATTATTATTATTTTTATACATAATTTGTAATTGTAATAAAACGTGTCAGGTACGAGAGGCTCGCCAAGTACAATCAGCTGCTAAGAATCGAAGGCAAACTGGGTTCGAATGCAACCTTCGCCGGGAACAACTTCAGAAGGATTCACCAAAAATTATAAAATTATTTTAATTGTTATGCGCTATATTGTTGTGTCGTTTGGACAAAAGTAAGGTTATTAGTGAAATACATGAAAGAAATTTTTTTAATTTTTGTTAAATTTAAATAAAAAAATTCAGATATTTATTGAATAATTTGATTTGCAACGAGTGAAAAGTATGTTTTAAACAGATATAAAATTAAGTTTCTGTGTATCTATGGCTCTAAATGAAACTAGGCAAACATATTAGGCTCATTTAAATTTTTAATTAATTTATAAAAAGAATAAAAACGTCAAATTTCGTCAATCCAAAAATAATTTAGAAGTTTATCTCTAAATAGAATTTATTATTATATTTCCACATTTGTTATTCTTTCCTTGTCGGCTTTCCTTATTTGTTATTCTTTCCTTGTTTACGACAAATCGCCATTGTTGCAGTAGTCGCCCTGGCAGAACTGTTGGCACGTTTTGAAATAGATATCATCGGTACATCCCTGCCACGTGACCGGGTCACACCCGCGCCGGAAGCTCCTGACCACTTTCTCGCCTGTCACGTGTGTGAAAGATATTACATCGTTGGGGTAATTTTTTAAATATATTACTATAAATAATTACAATTATTCAATGGTCATTATATTAATTTATGTTTAATATTTTTGAAATATTTATGTTCTGATAATTATAATAATAATTATTATTATCGTTGTTTTTATTAATGATATAGTTATATCATCAATTTCATTATTATACAATTGTTGTTACTATTATTATTGTAATTATTCTTATTAAATAAAAATTTGTAAAGTGCTTTTCAGTAAAAATATCAAAAGCGCCGACAGAGGCGGTAGAATGATGCTTCGTCATTGATAAAATGTATTATTACTCTTATCATTATTATTGCTTTTTTGTATTACCATAGTTATATATCATCCAAGAACCAACAAAGTTTAAAAATTAATTTTTATGTGAAATTAATTTTTTTCACATGTTTGCTGCTCTTAATTACAATTTTGAAGTGTTTGTTTCGTTACACTTGGCGGCTGTTTCGTAACTTTCGAGAAACTTCAATCGATATCTCGAGTGTTATTCAGATTTTTAGAAAATTTTACAATTTTTAAAAATTTGAAGACTGATGCGAATTTATCGTAAAAACCTATTGAAGCTGGGTTTTAAATGGACCCTTTGTTAGTATTTGATTAGACCAAAGGATTTAATTAGTTTCTTTCAAAACAATTGAATTTATAAAAAAGACATAATTCATTCACTCATTCATTCATTCCATTATTCATTCATCACATAAAAAATAGGGATCCAAATGGTACCTTTATCATACTGCCTATAAGTAGAGCACTTTCTAGAAGGAGGACATCGAACTAAGTTGGGTGAAGGAACTTGATTGGGTGCCCTAACGCACCTGTCGTCCGAGCCTGGGCCGTTGTAGGAGTAGACACATGAGTAACACCATATAGTTCCAGGCGGTTCTTCAGATTAGTTGAGTATTAACGCGATGTTGGGGCGGAGTTGAAATGTTTGTTGTGGAATTAGTTTTATATTAAAAAGTGTTAGACCTGGTTTTCGGTTTTAAAAAATTCACCAAGTACTATTTTGAAATGGCAGTGCTTTTGTACTACGGCAGATAATACAAAACTGTAATACTAACCAGTAGTGGTAGTGGTAGTACCAGCTGGTGTGGTATTAATCGGTTTGTTGCCAACAGGTCGATCGTTGCACAGTTCCTTGTTGCATATTGTTACCGTTTTGTCTACCCCATTCGTCGTTGAATCACCCGGGGGTTCCATTTGGCACCCTCTTGTTACGTACCATAATTGTCCGTCTTGTTTGTTTGTGTGCGAGCGTGTATGCGTGTGTGTGTGCGTGTGTTTGCGCGTGTGCGTGTGTGTGTGACTATAAATGTTTGTGTCCATGTCTCTGTGTGTCTATATGTGTATATATACTGCGTGCATGTGTCAGTATGTGCACGAATATGAAGGAAATTTTACCATAATTATCACCATGATTGTCACCATTATTTTCACCATAATTTTCACGACAATTATGTCCACACATAGACTAACTTATCGACTGGTTAGTAACTGAGCAAGGAAGATTGCATATGCCGGTGTTAGGACCCAGCGTATACTTTTCAGGGTTGTTTATGCATTCAAACCCGGGTGAGTTGGCTCCAGCGGGAGCGTGGGAGCACGTGTAGCACCTAATGTCAGCTGTTTCGGAGAAATTAAAACGGCGATTTGTTTATTATGTTTGTTTGTTATTAAATATTCTGATGAAATTCTTTTTTTGTTGTTGTTGGTGCTTGGAATTTATAAAGGTGTGGTGAAAGTTGTTCGTAAAATAATTTTGTGTAATATAAAATGGAAATTTTTATCTCTTTAATGTTATTATGAAAAAGTGAAATTAATTAAACAGGGATGAAAAAGTAAAATTAATTATACAGGGAAATATACAATTAGATAGACGAACAAATGCGCGATAGAATGGTACGCAGTTAAATGAAAATTGAAGAAGGCTAGGAGAAAAAGTTACCGCTAAGAGCTACTCCTATGAAAAGTGAAACACAAGTAATTGATATTCCAGTAACTTTCATTATCTCAATGTCTTCTTATCATCTCATAATTTGCCAAATCAAAATCGCATCTCGTTTGATTCGATCTGAACCCGCGTTTAAATCAACGAAATTAGTACACACACACACGCACGCACATATG